TTTACTTATTTAAATAAAATCATATCCCAAAACAGTAAAAAAGTTTTTTTTTTTGCGGGAAATAGCTGTTATTTTAAAAATAATCAAACTTTTATATATATATATAGATTAGTTTATATATACATATATATATAGAGAGAGAGAGACAGGTTAGTTGAAATAATTTTTTTCTCAATTTTATTATTTCTTTATGCCTTGTATGTAGACGTGACCAAGGGCCAGACCGACCCGCCGTCCTGGCACGGCCCATAACCGACCCCACCCCGCCCCGTCTGTCTACGTGCGGTTCGGTGAACCGATACCGGCCCCGTGCAGTTCGGTCCCAGTTCACTCTTTTTTTATTGGTACCGGCTGTTCGGGCTCGGCCGAGACAGAGCCGAGGGTCGAGCGCCAGTCCGTTGGTTTAACTTTTTTTTTCTTTTTAAATAGACGGGTTGGTTCGAGTTGCCATAGCCACCGGACCATGCTCGCGACCCGCGCCCTCGAAGAAGATGGCGAGCTCGAGAGTGTGCCCGCTGCTGCCCCGCACACGCCCGCGTGCTCGCGGAAAAGATGGCGAGCTCGAGAGTGCCCAGCTTTGGTCGCTTGTGTTAGAGTAGTATATCCGGCGTTCCAATCTGATTGGACGTATTCTACTTGTAAATACAATCTATTAGAATTATATTGAATAATAGGCATCACTTTATTTTAAGAGTAAGCATTTATCATATTGTAGACATCGAAATTTTAATATTTTATTAATTAATATATTTATTTATTTTTGGGACATAAATCCAAGATAAATAAGATATTTAATTAATAAAGTAATTGTTTCTTGCCCACCAAGTCAAATCTTAGGATAAGGAAAGAGATTATATCAAATCTTAGGATAAGGAAAGAGAATATATCAAATCAAGAAGGACCAATCAAATTGATGTCTTCTTTTCCAAGACTCTCTCTCCTACACCTATAAATAGGGCTCTCCTCAATCCCACAAATAACACCTCAAACACCTCAAACACCTCAAAACACATCTCAAAAATCAAAGTCTCAAATTCAAGCGCTCTCAAGAAATCCTCTTGAAGATTTGAAGAAGTTCTTGAAGAACCGTCTGAGTATCCGTTCAATGAAGAAGAAGGCCAAGAAGAAGAAAAAGAGGCGGCGACTCTTCCTCAAGAAGTAAAGAGACGACTTTCACGCTTCTCAAGTCAATCTAAGAATATCAACGACGTTGAAGCGACATTCAAGCCCCGTTCGTTGAGAAGTTCAACCAACATAGCGTTTGATTCGAGAAAAAGCTATGAAGCCCTCGAGTCAACGTTATTCAAGTCAAAGTCTCTCTTTCCAGAAGATCAAAGAATCAAGTCTTCCAAGAAGTCATAATCAATCAAGTCAAGGCCTAACATTTAATACGGGAATCAGTCATTCGACCCCTAAATTAATGTTAGAGAAATTCAAGACCAAGCCCGAAGGATATTCATTCGTCAAATCCATCTTTGAAGGTCTCAATCCCAAATTTATGAAGAGAAGAATCAGAGGAGATAATTAGAGATTGTACCCGCAATATCATTTGATCGAAATATTTTTCAAGTTGTACAAAAGGTTTTATGTTTCCATAAAATTTGTTGTTACACATATATTTGCACTTAAGATAAAGTCCTTAGATCACATATAGCTATAAGATATGGTTGCGCATAGAGATGGTGATCATGGAACATATCTTGAAAGCTGTGATCTTAAATACAGTTCCAAGCCGTTGGATGTTTCGAGATGGATATCGAATAATCTGGAAAAGACTTGCACATAATATGTATGCTTATCGGATAAGAATGTTGCATTCCATCAACATTAGCGTGGGACGCAAATACATATATGTGGGTGCTTGTTAGAGAACAAGTTCACTGAACATGACCGTATAAAAATTCTTAATGAAAGATTTATCTTGTCGAATAAGAATTTTCATGTTACAATAGTACATGATTGATCCTTAGACTTGAGGCACAATGGTAACTTTGTGCATATTATATTTTTACTTTGATTTATCCTTTTGATTGCCAGCACAATCGTATAAAGGGATATTTTGGGTATTATATTAATATGTATGGAAGTTTGTTATTGCCAACAAAAGATTCGACACTCATGAAGATAAGTGAATTTCCTATGTGTTTCATAGTTAGTAATTCAAAGTCCTTGGCCAAGGCGGGATGAATAGAGATTCATAAACGAATTACTAAACTTGAAATGGAATCATAGTTATTAAATCAGTTTTGGGTTTCGACAAAATCATACCCAAAGATTTAATTGGGAAATTGGATGTCGAAAGGATTTTACATGTACGTACTCATAGGAGAAACGGAAGATACCACGGACGACAGGCGAATGCGCACAGTAGACGCCTGGGATTTCGTTCCACATGGAATGCGAATAAGAAATGTCTTGTTAGGTTTTCAATGTCTTTTTAGAATGTATGGAGTACCTTTACTCATAATTGCGAAAAATTTTGTACGTGTCCTCCTATTTCAACCTTCTGAGTTGTCTGAGGATTTCGAGGAATTCAGAAAGGAGCAATATGTTTTGTGTACTTTTTTCGGTCTTCCAATAGACGATGCGAGACTTTTCCTACCTTCTTTTTTAGATGGTATTCAGATACAAATAATTATGCCTTTCCGTTTGCGCCCTTGGAACACAGGATTGCCGAGCCACGACAGAGACAAAATTTGTTATTTAACAGTTTTTGGAAAGGAAACCGACTTTCCTTTTGGTTGGCCCCGAAAAAATGAATCCTTTTTTCAACCCATTTTTGACATATTAAAAAGCAAATTGAAAGGGCGGT